CACAGTCGGTCTCATTAAGGCTGATAATTATTAAAAAGATTGGCTTGTGACTCATTTTAATTTTCTTGTTTTGATTTATCGGCAGACTATTGATTGCCGCCGTTGCAATGATCACTTATTGACACTGCTGCGCAGCATTCGTATATCCTCGTGCAGAGAAAAATATTCGAATGTAGATAACAATTATTTGCGTGTGTGCATATCTTGCAATTGTTTTCAGAAAAGAAAAGGATCTTTTCTTCACATTTCTATATAAAGGCAGATTCGGAGATCCAGCTTATAAAAATGCCATTTGGCGGTCAAAAAACAAATATTATGTGATTTGAATCAACCTATATGAAGTTTTCAAAAAACATCGGTATTTTCAATATTCAAATTTTTCATGTTTTCAAAATTTTCAAAAATGTTCAAAAAAAATCAGAGCTTGCAAAAAGAATCTAACTTCTCTATTACAATACTACTATTACAATAAAGAACTATTAAAAGTTTTAAATTACAGTACGGAAAGTTCCCGCAATTTGCCTTTGAGGCAAATGCACTACTAGTTTTCATTTATATTTATTATGTCGCATGAGTCAATATCGAATTTTGTATATTTTTATGCATGTTCAATAAGTTTTAATTAAAGTTCAATTTTCCAAAATATCACATTTAATATATCAACAATAGTTTGGTATATTCACATATATGACATACAAAACAGTTAAAAAATTTTTTATTCTTTCATTATAAATTCACTGCTATATTTTTTTAACTTAAATTATCTACAGAAACTTATCAAATTCGAATATTTTTAATAATATATTAAAATAATATATTCAAATAATAAAGTATAAATGTAAAATGCCTGGGCCGTGGAGTTTGTTCAACAGATAAATTTAAATTCAATTGAAAATGTGATATTACTATTTATTAATGCACTATATCTATTTAGTGTTTTATTTCAAGTTGGGTGTTAGTTGTAATATGAACATCGAGATATGTTTAAATTATATCGTTGTGTATCAAACTTGATCAGCACTCTTAACTCAATGCATTTTCATTATAATTCTATGTTTTCTATGATTTCTAATATCAATTAACCCTTCAATCGATACCCCAGCAGAATCTGGTAATCGTCTTTCAAATTATCATAATTTCGAGCGATCAGTGCGTATCCTCTGAGCAAGCACGTGGCCTAACGACGTTGTAGGACGATTGCCGGGTGGTCTCGCATCGCGGAAAATGTAACCGCGCTTTTCTCGGACGATAACGCGATGCATCGATTCAAAGGTCAGTCGCGGTCAGTGCGATTCCCGTACGAACATAACAGTGCGGACGAACACAACAAGTGCTTGGAATAAGATATTAATTATTTAATAGTTATTTATTCGCACACGTAATAGATTTACTTTACACAAATCTCTACTGTTCTCCGACTTTTTTTACGTAGGCTAAGTTATAGTAATCGCAAAAAAATCGAAAAAGATCCGTTTTCGATAATTCAAGAAACATTTCACTTGTATGGATAAAATGAAGTACTGATTAATTTTTGGGAAGGCAGATTTAGCGGTTTCGGAGATCGAGTGGAAAAAGTAAAAAAAAAACGCCATTTGAGGGTTAAAATTGATTATTAGACATATGCACATCAAATTATCAGATATTTTAGAGATTTTAATAAGTACAAATTTTGTTGACATTTCTATGGGTTCCGTATCAATGTTAGACTGCGATACGACGCTAACGAGCTTCGATATTTCGTCTCCAAACGGCTATACAGCGCGATTGTTTCGAAAAAAATTAAAATTTTCAAAAAATTTCTAAACATAAAAATAAATTAAAATTTTTAAGTCTTTTTTGAAATTTTAATTTTCGGTACGGGAAGTTTCAGTAATTTTCGCCAACTTTTTTGATGAAACTTGCCAACGCATTTTAGTAAAGTTTTTTTTAATGGAGGGCCTCTCAAAATTGATGATCGATTTAAAAAAAAAAATTCTTAGTTGAACAAAAAGTCTTCATTCTTGAAAACTTGGAGCAATAATACTAATATTATTCAAATGCTACTTTTAATCGTCCCAATTCAAATAGGTAATTGAAATTTTTCGAACTAATTTTTATTATACATAAAATAACTAGAAATCTGATAAATATTCACACTTTTGTTATATAAGTTGACACAGTATAATTTGTAAAGGATTCGATGACGTACTAATTACAAAGCTTAAATCGCCTAATGAAACTAATAAATAATCTTTGCAAAATATAGAGTTTTATCAATTGATCTATTAACTGATAAGTTTCCGATTCCTTCTACTTCTTCTCTAAATTATATTCGAAACATGTCTGATGATCCGAAGCGCACCGAATCCACTATTTGAATCGTTTTCTTTCGAATGCCGAGAATACATACCACTCGTGTATAATTTAGAAATAATAATTATTTGCCTGTACATGTATTATATTATAAACCCTCATGCGATAACGCTAAAACGCAAATGTGTGGAATCGGATCCGGCACGCGATCGTCGCATTCCTAGCCTTTGTTGATAGCACACAATATACAACTCCCGTGGGGGTAGTCCACGACCTGAACCTCAGAAACACTTTGGAATCTAACTACCACTACCCCTTATCACAAATCGTTACATGTGAATGCAATTAATATGGGACAGAGCAGAACCGAAGAAGAATTTATATTTATACTTGAACATATCACGAAATAAAACTAGTGGTACATGGCATCGTGAATTGAGGCACATTGTTGGAACTTCTTGTACCGAAAATTATATTTTAAAAAAGCTTTATTTTTTTTTTTGAAAACGTTGAGAAAATTTTATTTTTTATATATTTTGAACTTTATTTAAAGTAATCGCGCTGCGACTATATATCGAAGCGCGTAAGCGCCGTGTCGCAGACTAACGGATAAGGAACTATTGGTAAGGAACCCATAGAAATGTAAACAAAATTTATACTTATTATTAAAATCTCTATGAAATATCTGATAATTTAATGGACATATGTCTAATGATCGTTTTTTTTTCACTGGATTTCCGAAACCGCTAGACCTGCCTTTCAAGAGTTTAATCAGCTTCTCATTTTGTCAATACAAATAAAATTATTTTTGAGTTATTGAATTCTGACGCTCCGTTCTCATTAAAACTGATTTACCATTTTTGGCACTTTTTGCCCCGTATCTTCGAAACGCTGGACCTGCCTTTGCTAAAAACTAACCAGCACGTTTTCTTATCGATATGAATCAAATGTTTTTTGAATTATTCAAATCAATTGATCAGTGTTTTTCGTCGACAAAAAATTGTAACCGTTCAGACATACGCACGCACGCACATACTTTTATTTTTTGCCAAAAAATGTATGAAAAATGTACAGAGGGCTTTGAAACGTAAAGATATATAAAAATTTTCTTCTTCGATTTTTTTACGATTACTGTAACTTATCCTACGGGAAGTCAACGTTAAATCAACGTTTTACATGTATGCCGAATTCTAATTTGGGTAATCAGAATATCTATCTAATTGAACAAGTATTTTTACTTTTTTATGAACTATGTAGTCAAATGTTTTGTTTTTGATATTATCCTAATTTTTTTCGTTTTTTCAATATGACCGTTGATATAATTTGATTTTTGACTCAATATTTTCGCTATTATTTTGATATAATTCTTTACTTTACATTCTAACTATGGAATTGTTCAAAGAGCAATTTTCTTTATTTTTTAAGTCCGTAGTAGTTGAAAAGTACCGATCACACATGTTACATACAACTAATACTTTTATCGACTCCAAACGATTTATTATTCCTAAACGTGAACCTACTGACACAAATTTTTCAAACCGACGGTATTAAATTTAATAATATTATTGTTATTTCTATATTCTATTAACATCAAAGATTTGATATAATTAAATACATATCTATAAATTATTAAAAATGAATGAAAATGTTTAAAAGTGATATATTTTTAATGTATCAAAAACGTATTTCGAGAATACAAATTTATTCATTTAGACAATTATGATTGATTTTTTAAATGTACAATATTTTATTTTCCAACTCTGTATGCATAGATGACATGCCCCAGAATGCCACGACGGACGCCAATATTACTATTACCTGCTATATACACGTTGATTTATAGTTGAGAAAACTGATGTTGTTCGTGTTTAGTTGCATTCCTGTAAAAATTTAAATTGTGATATGAGTTGTTGATATTTAAATATAACTTAATAATGAGAGAGTGGGTATTATTACCATCATCAATCATAATAATAATAATAAATAACAAATGGTAGTCTGCCCGAAGGCAGGTCCATGGTGTGAGAGCCATCACAAACAAATGATTTTTTTACCCTTCATCCCATTACCACTATTCCCTATTTTTTTATTTCATGTATTTTGATCCAGTTTCCTTTCCTTTTCAGAATTGTGCTCAGTAGAGTCCTTTCTTCGCCCACTCTTCTCAGGACTTCTTCATTTGTCACTTTGTCTGTCTACTTTATCTTTTCCATTCGCGTCCACCACCACATTTCAAAACTCTCGAGGTAGATTTTATTGGCCTTTCTCAGAGTCCATGTCTCCGATCCGTACAGAGCTTGGACACATGGACACATTCATCAATCATATTCGTATATTTAAATACGTTTAATTTTGGAATTGTTAGGTTGAATAATTATTTTTCACATATTTTCACCGTAGATAGTTCTTATTGTTGTAAAAAAAAAAAATTGTTGAATTTTTCAGTTCTTTCATAAGTACATATCGACTGCATACTTAAAAACGTGGGAATGAAATACCCAACAACAATTGCAATTCTTTATTAAATAATAAAGAAGTAATATCATTTCCAATATTAAAATTGTCGATACAATTCACTCCACTACTAATTCATTTATGTATTTTTTAAATTGCAGAATTTGAGATAACTGTACTAGTCTTGATGTTAATTAATATTTGTATTCAATTCTATTTTTGCTTCTTAATTAATTTCGTCTACTTTATCACAGTGAGCAAAGCCACTTCACCCACAAATGATGCACTTGGACCGTTGCCGGAAGGATGGGAACAAGCAGCGACTGCCGAAGGAGAAATATATTTTATAAATCATCAGGCTAGAACTACTTCCTGGTTTGATCCGAGAATACGTAAGTAGCTATTAAAAATTTACTAAGATAAAATGAAATTTTAATTGGCATCTTTCTTCAAAGTACCGATTACAGTAGAACTCCAATTATCCGAACTCCGACTATCCGAACTCCAATTATCCGAACTCCGACTATCCGAACTCCAATTATCCGAACTCCGACCATCCGAATCGCCGATTATCCGAATCACTTTCAGAAAAAAAATTGTCAAAAAAAAGTCTAAGTGCGCTATTATTCTTCCACCAGCAAAGCCAGTGTAGGCACATTGTTTGTTTTGATTTGACGGAGATGTTTACAAAACAATGATTTTTATTTCTAAACTTGTACATTTTTTTTTTAACTCGTTTAAGTACATTTTATTTAAAACATGTAAAAATGTCATGTTTCTTTAATTTAATTCAATAAAAAAATAGTGCAATATCAAAACGTAACTTTTTTTCTCTTCAATGGCAATTTTTAAAAAAAACTCTGATTATCCGAATATTTGATTATCCGAATGGGTCCCGGTTCCCATTAATTCGGATAATTTGAGTTCTAGTGTATTTATAAAATGTAAGTAAAAATGTTCATTCTATGAGGTTGTTTGGAAAGTCACTTCGTTTTTTTACTACAGAGGATTTAACTATATTTTTTAACCTAACATCACACTTAAGCCGTATAATAATTATATGATTTGAAAGCTCGTATTTTAAGGTTTGTGTGTAAAAAGTTCTAATCAATTACACGCAGTAGTTTTTGGAGGGTGCCACTTTGAATACGGAAAACTGCTTTCAAACTCGCATAAGTTTGGTCATTTGCCAAAAGCTTTTATAGCTTGAATGGGACCCAATTCCATATTCATCATATTCTCAAGACGTCATCATTGGACCATTAAATGTTCCGGTAACTAAAAAATTGTTTAAGGAGGTAAAACCTTTACCTCAAATGAGGTCAAAAAGCACCTTGATCAGTTTTTTGCCAATAACGACCAAAAAAATATGATCTCGAAATTATGCTAATACTAGAAATATGAAAGAAGATGTTCGATCAAAACAGCCAATACATAATTTATTAAAGTATTTGTTTATTGTACGAAAATTATGTTTCAAAATGTCTATAAAAAACGAAGTTACTTTCCGTACAACCCAATAATTCAATAGTTAATTGGATTAGTTAATTGTTCTGTTAATAGTTCTTGATTTTTCACTAACTTTTTATATTTAGCAACGCACCTTCAACGTTCTCCCGGTACTTGCGTTCCCGGTCATACTGCCGCCATGCAGCAATCCTGGCTCGCTGGCAATGGAGGCGGAACTGCCGCCAATGCTGTCAGCGGGACGGGCCCTGTCGGCGCTACTGTAGGAGGACAATCCTCGGTGGTTCATCAGGCTTCACAACAAAAACTACGTTTGCAACAATTACAACAGGAAAGGGAAAGACTTAAACAGCGTCAACACGAAATCAGAATGCAGGTAAGATTCGCACCGTTTGAAGGTGCAAATTACTAAATTGTCGAATACTTCACATATTTTAACTTTGTTTAGGAATTAATGAGACAACAGACAAGCACGGAATTACAGATGGACCCATTCTTGTCCGGCGTAACGGATCATTCCAGGCAAGAATCAGCGGATAGCGGTTTGGGTCTTGGAAATCCATACTCTATGCCTCACACACCGGAAGATTTTTTGGCCAACATTGACGATAATATGGACTGCGCAAGTGGTAATGAAATTTTAGTTCATTAATTTTGCACTAGGTTCGAGAACCAATGAAACAAACCACAAAATTAAACCAGTTGCTATAAGCAATCTTTCGAAATTCCTTTGAATCGCGATAAAAACGTCCGATAAGTTTTGATCTCGAAGAAAACTATGTATAAATAAATTAGAATGTTTTAGAACTAGCATCTGTAGAACTTTTAATTTATATTGTTTATTGAACACAATATGTAAATATCATTATAAAGCACGAACTGCATGAAATCTCAAATAATTTTTTGGGTTTATTGAATATTATTTTTGTATCATTATCGTTTTTGTGAACTAAGTGTCTTATGATGTATAATAGCTGTGTTTTCTTCTCAGAAAGTGGAGCTGCTATGGATGCCACGGATATATCAGCACTTAGTGATAATATAGACTCGACAGAAGATCTTGTGCCATCACTTCAGGTATGATATGGTCAATATGGATAATGAAATAGATTATATCTTCACCCAAAATTGAGATTCTTTTTGAAGTGTCTATTCTTACACACATGATATAATGTTTTCAGTTGGGGGAGGACTTTTCTAGTGACATATTGGAAGACGTACAGTCTTTAATAAATCCTGTAGCTAAGCCAGACAATGAACTGACATGGTTGTAAGTTGTAAATTTAAAAAATAAACTGACAATATCGCCGGCATCGAGATTTAAAGTTTCGATCTGTTGCCTTATGAACATATGCTCAATGACATGTAACATGAAACAATAATTTCTATGAGCGATTTTGATTATTTAATCATTTTAATACTTAGCATAAGTGAAAGTAATTTAAGGAGAGATGCCTTATATATTGTCTTTAGTTTTGATAGATATTTTTTAACGCTATAGCTATATAAGTAAATAAGTTTTCATTATGAAGGATTGAGGTTGCTTCCAACCGGGATATTAAGAAGTAATCTCTGGGTTTGAATTTATCGCATTTAGCTTAGTATATAAAGCATTGATAATGGTGCCGCCAGAGATAAACCGTATATATTGTTGGAACTGATGAAATGTCGCGATTGGAAGCAGCTCTTAAAGTCATTGTTTATAACTCGATTCTATTTAGATATATTTGATGAAACATTGCGACAAATGCGCAATATATATGTTGGTCAGAATGGTGCTAATATTTAAACAGATTATAATATTAAGAGATGGATTGCCGTTTCAAGGGCGAATGCGCGCCCGAGGGCGCGTGCAAACACTTTAATGCAATCTACTTTAAATTATAAACTTAAACTATATTATATATATATTTTATTATATGCAGATTTTATGACATTGTTTACTATTTAGTATTTTAAGTATTCGCTTATATTTCATATCAAAAACATATTTCAAACGTAAACTTTAAAAGTTTGAATATGAGCTTTATATTATATTTTAAACAATAATAATTTTATCATGCTCACTTTAAGCAGATATATCATGAAAAATTACTTTGGGATAAAGAAAAGTCTAAGTAAATCATTTTTTACAACTTTTCAATATAAATTTTTTATGTAAAAATAATCTGTAATTAAGAATTTTTTGTAAGTTCAGTTTCGCTTCATTTTAGTGATTGCTAGATACTCATCAAGTTTAATTTTCATCATACAGTTTATTTTTATATTTTTTTAGATATTGACAATAAATAATAATACTGCGAAACTGTGTTAAGGGTTAAAATAGTACATGCTCAATACTTTTTGGTCCATATCAGATAGCCGTCCATTTTGTATGCAGAAGAAGTCTTGTAATTATTTTATGAATGGAAGTAAAATATATGTTCAATGGCTTCATTTTGCTCAGTTTCTGTTAGCAAATCACTTTTATATTATAATGCACTCTGCACTCTAGCACTTTTTAGAGTAATCAGATGTCTTGCAAATATATACAATTTTTTTTAGACAAGTGACTAGCAATGCTGTTTTGAAAGATTTTTGGAAAATATATATATATATATATATATATATATATATATATATATATAGTTTACTAAAATTGAATGCTTGTGTAATTTCTAACTTGGTTGCGGCTCAGCTCAGTTTATTTTTCAAATACTGCTAGCTGTTTAATTAAAAACCAATATTTATTACGTGATATGGATTTTTCAAAAAGATCATTAAGGCAACTAATTAATTGCTGAGTCAATCTCAGTATTGTATGATACATATTGAGCTGAGTTCTGTTATGCAGATTAAATAAAATGTGATAATAAACTGAAGATTTATGTTGCCTCAATATTACAGAATGGACTGTGTAATATTATAATTCTATAAAGCATTTGTTTTTTTTATTAAATTCTGAGAAACATATATTAAATATTTTTTGGGGCAGCTTGCACATGTAAGAAATACATTTTATTGTTGGCTACATACTATATCTATATTTTCCCTATCATTTTAACTCATATGAGTACTTTCTAGACTTGTTGTAGTAGTTTTATTACTGTGTAATTATTATTTGTAATGAGATTCAAGTAATATAAAACTTAATAACACTAAATTGAAGATATTGCAAGCTGCTCAACTAATGATCTCAAAGTTGAACAATTTTACTGCTCGAAGGAAAGTGAATCCTTTCAGCATCGGAAGATACTTCATGTACTATATTTGATGTTTATGTACTTATACTATTACTTTGTAGCCTTTAATTTGTAAACAGTGGCCTTATATAAGACTTGTGTTTCTGCCTTATAAAATTATTGACCATGATACTCGACTGATGATAGCTGATAGCGATGCATATCACATGTGCTTCAATAACAAATAAATGGAAATGATTAAATATTATATTTTAAATAGATTTTAACTATGTGCATTCAGAAAGCAATATGATAGGTCATAGTGATCTACTAATGGATTATGATATTGCATATGTAAATACTACACTTATATATATTTATAATGTTTTTACTTCTCACTTAATAAATTTCTTAGATATAAAATGAAAACACGAATTGCCTTAGGACAATCAATGTCTTTTAAACTTTCGAGCTTATAAACAAGTTAATAGAGGCTAATCTATACTATAATAAAAATCTTGCTAAGTGTTGTTATTTTTACATAGATATAGAATTTGCATTCAATTTGGAGCTTTTACAAAGCTCATAAAATAAAATTAAAAAACACTACTTACATGAGAACTTTGTGCTACTTAATTTTTTTAATGAATTATATTTTCTGTACTTACTTGAAATGTGTATTTGTCACTACAAATTTTACTTTCTTAATTTTATTTACAGCTGAAGATAATTTTTTTATAATCTCTTAATTATCTAGAAATTGTTTTATTGAGATAAAAAGAATTTGAATCATTATATATCTATGTTGAATGTTTAGTTATTTTATAAAATTAAATCAATTATAAATAGTCAATAAAGAAATGAAATGCTCAAATGATGTTCGATGTTGATATCGAACAATCTCGATAATATTTGTGCCTTTCAAAACTCATAATGAGTTTGAATCTTTTGATAATAATTCTTATGTAAGCAGCAGAATTTTCCTTAAACAGGAAACAATATTATGTGGTATTATTAAGATATTATTATAGGAAAAAATGTTATTTATATACTTAGCAACATTTGATATAAATTTATCAATCTGTTTTTTGAAAGAAATGGCAATTTTAATGATATAATTAAGTACTTTTGAATTGTTACAAAAACATAATTTGTTTAAATGTTTTATACAACAATGTTCTGCCTGAATATTTAAGCAATATCAAATATTATTTTTTAACATTTGGAACTGTTGATTTAACATTACGTGAACATATTTAAACAATTGTTAAGCATTAAATGCACTCTGAATGAAAGTTTTCACTTTGATAGAATTGCAAGAATATAAATATCACTTTTGGAGCAGCTATTATTCAATGCCTTATTAGTATATGTTACATTATATGAGATTTATTATTAATTTTATGTATATATTTCACTAATAATTAATTTGCTAATAACTGAATGGCACAGCATTGAATTGTTACTATTTGTAAAAAAAAATTATTTTGTAGAATATTGAGTCTAAGATAAAACGAGCAAGAAAAAAACACAACAAAATTTATATGACTAACTTCTTTGTACATAGTGATTTTTTTTAATCTAAATATAAACGTTGTATTTTCAATAGTCTTTTTTAATATCCTTTCGAAATAAATCATCAAATAGTTATGATGAAGATATTATAAACATTATGGCGAGAATAAGAAATTAATTATGACATAAGATGATACTATAATTTTAATGAAAGAAAATAGAATTTTGATAATGTTATAAATAAGTAATTCAAAACTATAACTATTGTTATTTTCTTGCTAATTAGTCAGAGCATAATTTGATGGTCCTCAAAATTCATAAGTCTGATTGTATAAAGATAATCATAGCAGGCCACCGCCAAAGCCATGTTAAAAATCAGTTTTTGAAGTGTTAGATTTGCAATTAGTAGTGCTATCCCAACATTTTGATGGCCAACCATCTCCAAGATCCACTCTATTGACACATTATTCAAAATCCAATCTCCAAAGAAAAACTGAAAATGTAGAAATGAGAAAATAATTGACTAATAAACAATTCAAGACCTGTCTGTTGATGAAATTATTCTTGGCAAGAGGAGTAAGTGCTGTGCAAATATTCATAATCATTATCAGATTATATTTGCATATATAAAAATATAATAAATAATTTTTACCTGTATTGTTATTAGAAGCAGAAGTGGAGGCACCAGAAAATACAACAATGGGAATAATAAGGAAAACACCATGAGTATAAATAATAAGAGGCGCAAAGATGGTGGAAAAGGTGGTTCAGGGTCCCAAAATGTAGTCATAGTTTTTATGAAAGGTTTCAGGTATTGTCGCTGAAAGTTTTATATCAATTTTTTTAACTAAATTTAGTCATTGTATTATGTGCAAAGTTGTAAAAATTTCTATTTTTTTTTTTTGAAAAGCGTTTGAAGGTGAAATTTCTTTATTTTTAAGACTTGTCACCAAACTATAAACTATAAACTATTTAAGAATTTAACTTTCTTCAGGTAAATTTTTTGTATTGGTTGCATTTATTTAAGTATATAAACAATTTGAATGACTAACAAATGAATTTTATAAACAATGAAGTAAAATTAATTTCACAATAAATATTAGATTACAATTCTTTGATGCCAGCGATCCTCTCCTCTAATTCTCCAGCTGGCATGGTGATATCTTTTATAAGGTCGCATGTCTATGGACTCTCATAAATTGTTTTTTGGCATATGGTTTGTATTGCCCCCCATCATCTTCGACGATTAATTTTAAAAATCAATTTTGAAGTTTTAAAACGAAATTATATAGACAATTGTGAATAAATTTTGTTTCACTTGAAATGTCACGATGACGCATTATTATTTGCGCGTCATTCCTTATTTGTATTTTTATGCTAGTTGTTTTATAATGTGACTTGTGCAAAATTTCTAGAAAAACTCAAATTGTAACATCATTTCAATCAGTGTTATCTTAGAAACGCCAAGGAAATAATATGTAATTTGACCAATTTATTTGTACCTGCGTCACCCCCTTAATTAAATTAAAAAAATGATGTCATACACCACTAAAACTTCCTAAATTTAACATTTTTAATATTTTGTTATATAATCCACTCATTTATTTTTATCAAATACATGGAAAAAACATTAAATTAAAAAAAAATTTTTTTTAGGTATAACTTAGCGACAAATGAGTGGAATGAAAATCTGTGTCATTTTTTGTTGAAAATTCGACGCTTTGCAAAATTTTTGAAAATTTTTGCATGCTATTTCCATACAAATCTTTGATTGAATTGCGCTTTATCTAAAAGTTAATATTAAGAGCTAAAACTTTCAGAGAAGAGAATTATTTTTTTATCCTGGGAACCATTTGAGCCCTTGGGAGCAAGGAAATACGAAAATGTCCATATTAAG